AGACGTCCTGCAGTACACATGAGATCGATCCGCGCCTGAGGCACAGCAAGCTTTGCATCCCTCTAGGGTCGGCGAATGTGTGCCAGACTTGTCTGGGAGGATAGTAGCAGTGGCTCGATACATCGGTAGGCCACCGTGAGTCATTATAAAGGCCAGATTTGCATTCTGGCACCTCCAACGATGCTTAGTGAAGTTGAATGCACAGCGCGTCATTCGGAGATTGAAGAACGCCGAGAGCTTTATTCTTTTTCCTTTATCTCTTTCGAATTAGTTACGGCATTTAAATGACACAACTACGACATTTTCAAGACTTTCCTCTTCCATCGGTGTTCTTTACGCTACGCCGTCTTGACCGGTACAGTTCATGACCACTCATCCAAATTAAATTGTTAAAACGGATATCTGTATGACTATGTGTTACCTATCGTCCCGTTGATCGTCGAGTGACTCAAACTGGCGCCGGTAAGCCGTCATTTTCCCAAAATAGCGTGCAAGAGTCGCCCAATTGGTTCTGCTTGCTTTAGGGATACGTTGAGCATCATTAATTCCGTTTAGAGTTTTCGCGAAGAGCTCTCACCATCGTATCGGTGCTCGTTTTGCTGCTTGTTTGGCAACTTGAAAAATCCAGTCACTAGAAGCTTCTGTCCCATTGGTTCAGACGCTTTACATGTCCGGGCCCAACCAGTTTTTGAGAATTTGGCGCGCATATGGCGTCTTTAATTTTTGATCGCTAACGAACGTCGGGGTTTGGAGACCTCCCTCTCACTTGCCTGATCCAATGCTCTCCAAGGTATCGCCCTTTCGATTGCGCGTTCTATAACGCTGAATGATCATGTTCTCGTTTATGTAGCGACTAGGTTCTTGAAGCGTACGTTAAGGCAGGGAAAAACGTGCAATCGAAAAGATGAACGTGAAGACTGGTTTCCTTTGTGCTCTTCACTAAGACCTCAATGCTTTTGGAAGCTCTCCAAGGCACTAGCTTCCTCCTGCTCAACTTTGGAGCTCATTCATTCATCATGTTGATTTCCCAACTTAGATGGATATAACTGGAACATTCGGAGGTATTGGTTCCGTCGAGCGTGAATGGAGCATACGAAACCAATCCGTTCCTCCTGAGAATCGTTTTGTGAAATTTAATCGGAGACCAATCTTTCCACAGGCTTTATCAAAATCGTCAAGCATACGTTCGGCTTGGCTAATATTTAGTGTTATAAGGACGATGTCATCAGCAAAGCGAAGGTGTTGTAACTGCCGGCCATCGATTTTCACTCCCATATTATCCCATTCCAATGTTCTCATGACGTTCTGAAGGGTGGCGGTAAATGATTTTGGCGACATGCTATCGCCTTGCCTAAACCTTCTTTTGGCGTCGATGTTCATATCTTTGTAGGACGGTGATATCTTTGTTCTGAATTTTTTACATAGCTAAAAAATTACATAATTTTTGTTTACTGCGTTGGGAATCCCTCACTGTCCCAGTTCCATGACTGCTTCCATCTTAACTGGATCGAAGACTTTTCTTAAATCTCTTAATGATCTTAAATGAGAGTAAGACAGATCGGTCTCCTTTACTCTAGCGATACTTCAGTGAGTCTTGTTATCGTTTAGATGTGGTCCATAGTACTGAATCCTTTTCGAAACCCTGCTTACCGACATGGCTGTCCTTCGTCCAGCGTTTTGTCAGTCCTGTTTGGGTTGACTCGAGTAGAAAGTTTGTAGACGACAGACAGTAAGCAGATTGGGCGATAGTTACTGATATCGTGGAGGTGACCCTTCTTGAACTACAAAACAGTCCTACAGGTCTTCTATTGAGTAGGAATCTTACATTCTGACAGGTAACGTTTGAAGATCTGAGCCACGGTGCTGGTGGGGATTGGCGGAAAGTTCTTCCGGTGTTTAGGGCCTACTCTATCTGGCCTAAGTGCTGGTGTACTCTTTTCCAACGAAATAGCAAGTCCGATTTTGTGACGTAGAACAGGTGGTAAGACATTCATCTTCGTTTATTTCATATGAGGGCGGAGGGACGTGGTTGTTGTGGAAGCTGTGACTGTTCCGTCTTGGCGTCGTAGTTCAACCATCTTGATCTTGTAATTTCCGAGGTTTGGATAGGTTTTCCTAACGCTTTTTCTGGCTTTTACAGCTTCGACCATAACTGCTGCTCTTCTCTCTTAAGGTTTCTTATCGATTATCTTTATTGTTTTGCTAGTCCCGCCTTGAGTTAGCGGTTGCCTGCAGCTTGTGCGATTCCGCACTATCGTATCAGTTCGAGTGTTTCTGGAGAAAGACGTCCCTTGGTGACTTTTGAACTCTCAGCTTTAATAGCGCTGACGTGAAGGTGTTGATAGCATTACTCATCGATGTTGTCAAGAAGAGCATTTTCCCAACAGCCAAGCATTAAATTGAACAAATACTAGTTTACGGTGGTTTTGCGATTTTATGTTTTGAACTTACCGGCTTTTTCACCTTTCGGCGAGAAACGAACTCTTGCAGTAAAGAGGCGATGGTCTGATTCTTTGTAGAATTTTGGAGCAACAACGATATCGCATAGGCAGAACCTTCGACTTACTATAATTGGTCTATTTCGTTATGGTACTCTCCATTGGGAGACTCCGACGTCGAGTGCTATGTGGGGGTTTTCTTGGGGTTATAAGAATAAGGCTCGTTTATTTTATTGTGTTTAGCTTTTTGATACCCACGTATAGCTTGCTGAGCTGTGAACGTGAAGACTGGGTATACTCACGGGTAGCTTGACAGTCTCTTCCAAAGTGGACATGAAGCTTATTTGTTGCAAGCGATTCCTAGCCGCCTCCCAAATACTTCCTTGTTACTGAGATATTTGTAAAACTCCGGACCGCTGTTTTCTGCGGTGGGGGACCGAACACGCTATTATACCTTTCGGTGCCTAACACGTTCACCACGACACCATGCAAGTCCTTCGTTTCGCCTGTCTCTCAGTCGTGTTATTGACCTATAGGCGTTATCAGCAATGACCTGTCAACGGGATTAATTTGGGAAGCACAAATCGGCATGAGCCCAGTTAAGTTGGAGCGATTGTATGAATCGCAATGTCGCCAGATTTTATTTATTACCTAATATTTTTAATGGCAGGGTATTATGTGTAGGTCAATAACAGGCATGAGAAACGGAGACAGGCGAAACGAAGGACTCGCATGGTGTTGTTGTTGCTCTCGTTAGTCCCCGGAAAGAGTAATAGCGTGTTCGATCCCCAGCGCAGATACCAGCGGTCCGGATTTTTGCAAATATCTCAGTAACATTATATGTCACATAATACCCTGCCATTAAAAATTATTAGGCAGGAAATGAAATCTAGCGACATTGTGATCTATACCATCGCTTCAGCTTAACTGGGTTCATGGCGATTTGTGCTCACCAAATCAATCCCGTTGACGGATGGTTGCTGATATCGCCTATAGGTTAATAATAGGGTTGAGAAATAGGCGAAACGAAGGGCTCGCAGGTTGTGGTGGTGAACACGTTAGTCCCCGGAAAGGGTAATAGCGTGTTCGGTCCCCACTTCAGACACCAGCGGTTCGGAGTTTTGTAAATATCTCAGCAACGTTATGGTTATGTCACATAATACTTAAAAATTATTAGGCAGTAAATAAATTTTGGCGACTTCCTTGCTACTTGACTGCAGTCCTTTGGGGAAATTGATTCATAGAATGCAATGTCCATAAACGAGTACACATCCTCTCACACTTGAATGAATATGTCCTCGAAAATACAGCAGGTTTGTGCCAAATAGATCCAATGGAAACAGGGAGTCCATCTCTTGGATCTACACGAGTCTCAAAGTGACAAAGGCCGCCTTTGGTCCGCATCAACCTCATATCCGCCACCCGACTATGCGCACCCCCTCCCGTGTGGTTAACCGGCCTCGGATTCCTCTATGAGGGAAGTCCTTGGACGGTTACACATTCTTATTCGTTGCTTCGATTTAAAATATCCTCTTATTGATAAAAGCCTCAGTGAGAAGTTTGTCGTGATCCGAAGAAATCTTAGTGTTGTATTACTAAGGAAGTTAGAAAGTAGTTACCCGTAGTATGAATACTGCTTTCAGGTTTCTTATTTGTGAACTCTGACGTGGACGTTGTTAATATTTATCTATTGGAAAGTCATGCGATCATGTAGGAACCACTGGTCCGTTTTCACTGGGTAGACTGCAGGTCGTTCCTAGATGTATTAGGTTTTAAATTTGACTCTTGTATGTACTCTACTACTCTGGTACTTATTCGATTCTGCTCTACTTGTACTCTTTTAAATTAAAACCATTGAAGCTGCACCCGAATCTCTGTTGATTTCAAAAATATGGAGGTTCACAGTTCACAATTTGGGTTGTTTCAGTGTTTAGGTTAAAGGTACGTTATTAAAGAAATTTCGAACGGTGGCTTTAATGAACGTTGTACAAGTACTCTAACGTCGTAAGATGTTTTATTAGAACTTCTGTATTTACGAGCTGTATGTCAAAAAACGCGTATCCCAGGCCCTTAGCTCAAGTCTTAAGTACGTTTTGCACATCCAAATATATCCTTCATGGAGTCTGAAGGGAAATAAAACAAATCCTTCACTTAGAAGACCTTCCAAACTTGGTTAGACAGCTTCAAATTACGTTAACAACGCTAAAGGTGTGCTAGTTAGAGTAACTAATGGCGAACTCTAACTTTTCATCACTAACGGAACTGACCATAAAGTTGTTTCGTTTAAGCAAACATGTCGTTTAGAGTTTGTTGGTCTAAAGTTGTCGGTTTTATTAGTCCAGTAGTTATCGAGCTTTTGAACTCCCAATTAAATAGTCATGCTGTTGCATTGAAGTTCTGAAGAGCTTGAGTTCTCTATCCTTTTTCCGGAATCTAAGTGTTTTCCCCATGGTTTTTCCGAGTTCCCAAGTTTTCTGTGATCCTTTCCTCATGCAAACACAATCGCCATTAAAATATTGATTTCCAGGTTTCTTTTTATGGTTGAAAACCCCAAGAGACGTCATGCACATTAAAGAGGTGGTGTTGATTTGTCATAGTATTTCGGTTTTCGTAATTGGTCGTCAGACTTTTCACTTAAGGTCAATATTTCTGGATTTCGTAGTTATCGGGAAGTGACCAGTATTGACTGTTTCTCTCCAAAACACAATGTGATCGTCGGACGCAATGGCAGTGGGAAGTCGAACTTTTTCCTTGGTGGGTGTCGTCTGCTGTTGTGTAGCCTGGGTTCTTATTTTTACAAACTAAGCTACATCTACTAAAAAAATTTAACATTTACACTTACACTTATGAACACTTAAGTTTATTTTACACTTGTATCTGTTACTGACTAAAGTATAAACAACACTTGTTTTGGTGGTGGCGAGCAGTACATAGAAGTGTGCGTGAGTTTAAGGAAGTCGCTTTCATTACGTTTTTTTTTTCCTAGCTGTAGTGTATAGGTGCTCCTTGGGGTGTCTGGGTGCTTTGTACAGCGGGGAGATTCACTCACCACCAGGGTCATCCAAGTTGACAAGGAGTCTGGCGCTTCAGTTAAGAAGTCAAGATAACAGTAAACGAATACCAGAATCCACCACCGTCCTGGTATCAAACTACTCGCATGGTGCCAAATCTCCGTCTTACCCACAAGGGCGGCGGCTGCTTGGGTGGTGACGACCTGGGGCAGAGTTCGGCCTCGCTGACCGCAAGACTCCAGAGAACCACAGTGGCTAGATGAGCAGAACTTCAAAAAAGGGAAATTTTGCTGGAACCCGCACAACTAGTGAGGATGGGCCATCCAAGTATCCAAGTAAGTGTGGTGTATATGCTGTTATAGTAACACGTGCAATTGACTTTGTTTCATACTCCTCCTTTTATTGTAGTAGATTACTTTGCAATCCTCTACAGAACTTTAGAGAACGAACTACGATATGTCTTTATTTCAGATAATGTAGAATAAATGCGTCTGTAATGAGATATTTGCAAAACTCTGGACTGGTGGTTTCTGCGGTGGGGAACGAAACCTTTACCCTTTCCGGGGGCTAACACGTAGCCGACCACACCATGCGGGTCCTTCGTTACGTTTTGAAAAAATCATAGTAGGCACCACATAGAAAATTAACATTGCGTCTATAATTTCAGCGATTCAGTTTGTGTTGAGCGATGAGTTCAGTAATCTGCGATCTGAACAAAGACTGGGTGTACTGCACGAGAGCTCTGGTCCTCGCATCAGCACGGCTCGTGTCGAGATCGTCTTCGATAACACGGATAGAAGAATTCCAGCCGTTAGTGCTTTGGCATTTTTTCTACTTATTATTCTTAGTAATAACTCGAAAGACCGACTTTAAACAAAACTCAGCGTTAATAACTAAACCATATCTTACGATTAATCCTTGATGAGAGAATGCGAGTTTTCTAATTGTAGTTTAGTGTCAGAAAATTATTTTCCATTTATGTCTTTAATTTTTCGGTTCGTTAAAATTCTTTAGTCTAATGTTAATTCTTATTTAAATGCTGTTTTCATTGTTAAAAAACCGAAAAGTCCTCAGCCAACGAAAACTGGCTTGTATTCGACTCGGCCAACTACGAAATACGGTGGAACCCGTTATGGTTTAAAGACATTCTTGTAGATCGAGCGTACAGAAGTGCGCGTGGTTCGACAAGTTGGTCAGAAGAAGGACCAGTACTACATCGATGGCAAAATGGTGCTGCGTACTGAGGTAATTGTTCTTTACAACGATTTCATCCTATGGTTTCAACTCCCTTTGTTCTTTTTTTTGCATTATCTGTGGCGTTAGGTCATCAATCTGATGGAATCGGCTGGTTTTTCTCGTTCGAACCCCTATTACATTGTCAAACAAGGGAAAATCAATGAGCTGGCAATCGCTTCTGATTCTCACAGGTACATGATCGATCCTTTTGCGTAATATATATATATATATATATATATGTATACACATATACACATATATATATACATGTAGATGTGTATACATATGTACGTACATACTAACATATACATATATATATACAAATACATGCATATATAACCATGTAGGTTAGTTTTTTATTTTACACGATTCATCTTCACACCTACTGCGCGTATCCCCGCACTTCTTGCATTCGATTCGATTCGTTTTCTCGCATTCATTATTATCCGCGAAGATTTTCAAATTTGTGGCTTGTGGGTTCGGCTGTTGGTTTGAGATTGTCGTCTACTTTATGAATGTCGTTGAATGCTAGTGTAGTTGATTTTCTATGAGGTAGTGAGATTTTTGGCTTAGAGCGTTCCCACTTTGGTGGCAGAGAGTGAGCTTTTCCCGAAGTATGGTGTCAATTTCCCGACCCCATATGGGAGCTTCAGTGACCTCGAGTTAGAGTCGAACGAGCACAGTGCTGATGGTGAGCAGCATCAACATACGTACAAATATATATACATTCACGAAGTTCATGCAGAAGTGAATATATAATATATTATATATTCACTTCTGCATGAACTTCGTGAATGTTGACGTATGTGTATTTTTATATGTATGTATATTCGTATATACTTATGCATATTTACATTTGTCAACATACACGAAGTATGTACATACGTAGTAGGGCGCGTGTGGCACAGTGGTTGAAGGCGCCACTGCGACACACGTGGAATCGATCCCTGCGTCCATGGCACACCAAGCCTTCCATCCCTCCGGGGTCGGCAAATTGGTACCAGACTTGTCTGGGAGGATAGCAGCACTGGCTCGATACATCGGTAGGCCACCGTGAGTGATTGTAAAGACCAGATATGCATTCAATCACCTCCAGCGATACTTAGTGAAGTCGAATGCATGGCGCGTCCCTCAGGAATTAATCAATGCTGAGAACTTTACCCTTTTAGCTTCTATGTACATACGTATGTATATGTGCTTATTAATATTTTTTCCGTTTTTGCTTAATTTTATTTTTTTTTTATGTAAATGTTTATGCTTTTATATATTTGTACCATGCGACAAGTTTACTGATACGTTCCACTCAGGCTGAAATTGCTTCGGGAAGTTGCTGGAACTCGTGTTTATGACGAGCGTAAGGATGAAAGTCTCAAAATCCTGAAAGAGACGCGTATGTCAATAAAGAAATCCGGAACTGCAGCGTTCATATTATAACTAAAGCTTTTAGACAACAAAACAAAGAAGATTGAGACATTACTGTCTTACATCGACGAGCGTTTGAAGACACTAGAAGAAGAGAAAGAAGATTTAAAGGAGTATCAGAAGTGGGACAAAATGAAAAGGTCGATAGAGTACACCATATATGACACCGAAGCTAATGAGACGCGGAAAAAGTTGGAGAGATTGCTGGATCAGAGGGAAGAGCTTAATACACGTCAAACAAAGGTAATTCGTTTCATTTTCTTAGTAAAGATCGATATTGAAGCGGATTTTGCTTGACTGTTCTTCCTTAAAGGAGTACTTTCCTGGTTTATCACTTCGCTGAGACCTCATTGTCAACTTTTTTACGCAGTATTTGCACTACCATTTATGTCTTCGACTTTGAAATTTCTTAATTGGTTTTTAAATTATCGTGCACTCCTAAATTTATTAAATGTGAAAATTCAAATCAGTGAATTCCTGACCAGTCGTGCGGTTACTGGATTTGGTACAAACAAATGTTTACTTTTAAGCACTATTGTGTTGCGATGACCCTCATACACTCTTAAAGATCAAACTCACAGATTTACGGTAATTCTTGATAAGACGCTACCGCTAATAACTTGAAAAATCGAAGTAATCGTTCGTTGTAAAAAGTGTAGTGAAGAAGGCGGACAAAAGGCTTCCAGAGAGTGGTACCTTATTTTCATATTTACGAACTAGTTGTAGTTTATTGAGTTGTTGTAAAGGTTCTTATTGTGTTGCTTTAAGGTGAGCAGCGAGCTTGTAGAGGTTCAAGCGCGAGGCGTGAGAGCTAGTGCGGAGCAAAGAAAGTTAGAATCACGTTTCAAAGGAATGAAAGAGGAAAAGGTGCGTTTTCCTTCAATTTTGCCTTTGTTATTAACTTCTAGATTCTTCCGCGCGCAGTTGTATTCCCTGTTTAAAGTTGTGTGGAATTATTTCAATTTGAAATACAACCACAGTGATGCTGAGATATGAGTAAGACTCGGAACCTCAAGTGCTTTTCGAACTTGCGATTACCCTTTCCGGTGGCTCACGTGTTATTCATTTCACCAACCGAGGCCCTTGCTTTACTTTTCTCTTAGCCAATTTTTTTTACTCCAACTCGGCTAATAGTAATGAAGGAAAATTGTTTTCGAGAGCAGCTTTTTCTTAGCTGGGTTCATTGCCGAATAGTGCTGTCCAGATCATTCTCGTCGACTGATGATAGCTAATAGTACCTTTAAGGTGAGAAATTGCTGAGAGAAAGGTAAAGCAAAGGCTTTGACTTGTGCAATGAATAATAACACGCAAGCTACAGGAAAGGGTAATCGCGGATTCGAAGCGCACCTGATATTCTGAGTTTTGCTCATATCTCACCATCGCTGTAGTCGTGTTTTACATGATATCTTGCCATGAAAAAAAGAGTAGGCGGTAACTATGAGTTGAAATATTTTAGTTTGTTCTTTCACCGTTTTCTGTGATTTTATAGTAAGGGAATTATTCCTATTTGAACTCACCTTTTATGTAGCGATGGCTTGGTGAGTTCCCATGTTTAGGAAGCTCTTATAGCTGAACAAGCGGAGCGTTTTGAGAAGAAAGCTGAACTTTCATTGTTGATAAACGACTTGAAAGAAGATGTTGAGAAGTTGGTGGTTATTTTAAACGTTAAGTTTTATTTTCAAACTGAACGTTTAGCAGTTGTTAATTTTAGGGAAAAGAGCGGTCGTAACAAAGCTGAAGATGTGCTGAATCAAGTAAAGGCAGACATACGTGAAAAAGAAGAGGAATTGGAAATAATCACTCCAAAATATCAAGTAGTTTTCTTCGTTATCATTTTTCTTATCTGTACTCCGATCTGCTGTTCACTATTGGTCTGTGTTTTAGAAACTTGTTGAGCAAGAATCAGCTCTGTCATCAGATATACGTATTGCTGAAACAAAATCGAAGGAGCTGTTTGCGAAGCAAGGTCACAAGTATGTAATCATTTTTTAAACTATTCATCGCGGTTTTTTGAATTGGCATATTTTTTGGAGTTTGTAAATCTATCAAACCTTCATTGAACAAGATCTCCCAATAAATTTGCTCATTATCTTGAGTGGGGCTTGTCCATGGAAGCGAAATTGATGTACAGTGCAGTTTCCGCCTGAAGTACGAGTGACAAACTAATACACGTAATTTCCATCATCATGTGGGAGAAACCACGCATCATTTCAGTCTACGAAATGTGGTTGTCGTTTTAAGCTAGGAAATGGAGCAAAGATTTTCTAGATTAAAAGGACAGTCATTTCGAGGCGAATTGAGAGCACCTTTATTCATGCTGCTTAGGATTTCGGGGAAGAAATACTACGAGATCAGCAGCATGCATATTAAATGGAGTGTGTGCTGAGAAGCACGGTTCCTTGTGAAGAAAGGCAACTCATATACAAAGTTAATGAACATAAATTTGACTACATATGTGAATATTCTCACTATTGAATGAGCAAGTATGAAAAGCCAACATAGCAAAATTATTAAATGAATGAATTTTTGGGAAGATTTTTGTTTACTAAATATGTCAATTTTAGAGACCAGTTCAAATCGGCAGAAGAACGCGACGCATATTTGCGACGTGAAGTTCGTCACTTCACTCGACAAATTGGTGATACTGAAGAGCAAATGAAGGACATTGAGAAAAGTCTTGAAGACGAGGCTTGTGAAGAGGAGCAGTTGACCACTCATGTTCAGGTATTGCTTTTCTGGTAGTAACGATCAAAATCCATGACGTTCTTTACTCCACGTACATAGTGGTTCATATGTGACACATTTCGGTCACTCAAGTCCGAAAGATAGGATTACCAAGTGCCCTCCTTATCGACGATAGTCTTTGTTTTACTCTATCGGTGCAAATGGGAACTGTTCGCTGTGGAACGTAAAGGCATAATAGTACCTTTGTTTTTCTTTCTTCTTTCGTGAGATATCATTGCTATCCTTGCCTTGCTCTCATCAACAGCAAACATCTGGCGGAGTCACCAATTGCTTGCGAAATTCTTTTTTGTAAGATAGAAAGTATATAAAGTGGCGTTCGATCAACACTAACTGGTATGACATCTATATTTAGCAAGGTATTGGTTTAACACGAAAGTTTGGCAACAAACTCTGTTCATCGACACAAACGGTCGGAAATAAAACGAGTCATAATTGAGTGGTGACAGCCATTCTATCCGTTGTCATATATGACTTATGCCAGGCGTTATGTGTTGTATAGCCAAAGGAGATGCTTTTAGGAGCTCGGAGTTGAGCTTCAGGAGAATCATATTCGTATGGACAAAGCCAGTTCAGAACACGGTCGTTTGAAACAGGAATTTGATAGAGCTATGGTTGCTCAACTGTAAGTAATATCGTGTTCGTAAATTGTTTAGTTGGGACTGTTAATACCGCATAAGCACTGTTAAAGCGATGCAACCCGTGAAGAAAAAGAAGTACGGGAGCAACTGAACACGATAAATGGTGAGATATCCCAGATGGAACAACAAATGCGTTGTCTTGCAGCCAAGGTAATTCATTTTGTTTTGCACGTAAGTTGAGAGGATCGTTTGAATTTAAGGTATTTCTGTATGAATCTATTGCAGTTTCTGTTTCAGTAACTGATTTCATTATGTGTTTTTTCCTTCCTCGACTTTTATTTAGGTCTCACGAATCAATTTTAGTCTATAACAAATGGCGTTGACGGCGTACGACGGGTTGTTCAATGGTTCCGAGATAACAACCTTGACGGACGTCATGATGATGTTGTTAAGGGGTATCACGGTTAGTTAATGTAATCGTTTTACTGGAGTTTCATTTCCCACTGCATTGATGAGAGGCTGTTAAGGAATTTTGTTGGATCTTATTGATTGCGAGCCAATATATTTTCAAGCTGTTGAAGTGACTGCTGGAAATCGGCTGCTATTTCACGTTGTTTCAGATGATAGGTATCTTAATTTATATCACAATTCTTTATAAAACAAGTATTTTCGAGCAACGAATAACGTCAGTTGAACTATTTTTTAAGGGTTGCGATGAAAATCATGAAACAGTTCAATCAGCAAAATTTGCCTGGTGAATGCAACTTTTTTCCGATTAATCGTGTAGTAGCTCCTCCACGAAAAGAATATCAAGATGCAGTATGTTTGCTCTATCTCTTTATGGTTTCACAAGAAGCAAATATCCTGTTTAGAAATTAGCTGCTCCCGTGTTTATATTCAGAGGCCTTTTTGGATTACGTAGGTTAGATATCTGTTATCAGTTGGTGACTTTTACCTGGTCATTTGGTTATTAAGTAGTAGACATTAATTCCAACCAATAAGGCATATAATGATTGCGAAAAAGATAATTTATTAAAAACTATATTTACTCAAGCGATAAATTAAATCCATCATGTGGCGAATCCTAATAATTTCTGAGTAAAAGCTAACATTAGTTCTAAAAGACGTATGTGTGACGACACATATACGCTGGTTTGATCGGAATTGAGGACCATATCAAAGTTTGGAGTACTACATAGCCGTTCAATGTGAACAGGACGTTGACCCAACCCTGCCCATGCCAGTCTCCCACGCCTCTGGGTCGGAAATGGATTACCAGACCGCTATGAGAAAAACTTTCTCCCATTCATGAAAGCTGGTGGATCCCTGTAATGACTTCCTAGTAACATCCTAGCTTAGCGCTCTGGAGTTCGTAGAAGATTGCGCTAGACTAGAATTCGAAGACATTCATTAAGAAGACCAAGAATTCTGAAGCAGTAACCGAGCTAACATGCAAATCGAAAGACCTTCGTGAGTGATAGCTGCAAGGAAACAAGCTGAGCGGAAGAAGCGATCCGAGTAATACGTGATTTCGGGTTGTTTAAAAAAGCTTATGGAACCACACTTTGTCGATTTCAGTTCAGATTTTTTTTCACTCTTTAAACTGTTTTGTGTCAGAATATGCGTGCATTGAGAAGCATTCTTCAACACTGTTGATTGAAAAAAGATAGATGATAGGCAGGCAGCAAAGAAGGCAACTTCGAATGAAGGCTGATGATTGGCATAATCTAACAACCACGCTCTGCAGTCGTCTGCTATTTTACTTGAAGAGGGCGAAATTCATTTCTTCCGAGTAATATCAACGGGTGGATGATGCTGTAGTGGTTCAGCTGGTTCTACGGTGGCGACACAGCTGCCAAGTTATGTCGTGAAGAAGATGAAACCGAGGATCCCTACAAGAAAGCACGCGCCGCAGATTTTAAATCTCAGTCGTATTAACTGCTTCAACCGCGTCTCTATCTATGCGGTCGAAAGTTGCTACTACAATTCTTTTTAGACGTGCAGATAATGAAGGGGCAGTAGTCGAAAGCGAACTAAGTGTGGTATGCAACTGTTTCGCGGAGCAAGTTAGCAAGATCGGCATTATCGTGAGGTAAAGGAACTGGAACGACTTAAGAGTCGAACCTTTACCATAATAAGTTGGAAACCTCAGAAACGCATTAGTCTACTTGTTCGGGTCGCCTCGCTTATCTTGATGGGAGTAGTAAGTGGAGGATCTGTTTAAAAAGACCACGTAGTTTTTGATAATAACGGTAAATGAGTGCTTCAAACTAGTAAAAGCAAAGTGGAAATGTTGTCAGAATCGATGAGATCTTGCATTCCAACTGAATATATACTCCGAGTAAATATTTACATCCATGTAACTTACTGGTTTAGGATGGACGTGCAATTCTCGATGTTTTCGATTATGACGAATACTACGATAGTGTATTTCGGAATGTGTTTGGTGGTATGTTACTTGCTTCCTAAATCTAATGCCTTCCTAATGAAAAAATATGTTTTCACATTCAAACATTTGAGGGACTGCTATTGTTCGCGACCTACATCTCGGAGCTCGCTTTGCAAGAAGCGAAGGTTTTGACTGTGTCACACTGGACGGTGATCAGGTAGATGGATTAGATTTAATTTGGAGAATTTTTAAGAGCACAAATTGTTCTATATAAACAGTTTCCATTCGATGAGCTTTAGAAAGTGGCTAGTACATTCACTTCTAGATACTGTTATCATTATCGTAGGTATTCATTAGCACTTTAATATTGATGAATATACTTCTTACAATTCCCACTGCCGGGTATTTGCTGATGACAGCATTAGATAGAAAACTAGCTGAAAGGAACAGAACAAGGTCCTCAGTGGTGCAGTGTGTAACACGCGAGCCACCAGAAAGAGTAATTGTGGTTCAATCTGACCCAGGATCCAAGTTTTGCGAGTATCTCAGCATCACTGTGGTTGTTATTCACAGCATACCCTGAATTATAGTAGGCAGCAAATAAAAAGTTAGCCATTTACAATTGTTCAGATATCCAAACGTGGTGCTCTCACTGGCGGTTATATTGATACCAAAAGATCGAAGCTAGAATTGCACAAAAGCATCCGCTCACAGCAGACTAATCGTGACCAGCTAATGGTACTCTCGACCTAAGTTAAAATTAACATATGTTGTTTTTTTCTGCTGTTATTTCTATTTCAAATCTCAGGCAACTCTTGCTGAAATTCAACGGAAAGTCAACGAGAAGATGAATGTTGTTGAAAAAATACAAATGGAAATTGATAAGGTACGTTAATTAGTGTTAAATTCGGAAACCAAGTAGATTTAGATTGCTACAGTAATCAGCTGCAATTCTTTTCTCTAAAATCAATTGGTAAAATAATAGGCTGTGGTCACTCTCAATGATAAAGTGTTACGTCACATCTACACTCCATTTAAATTTCTTTGCACGCATATCGGTGAATTGGGAATAACATAGCAGATATTGTTCTATCAGTCAATCAGCGTTTAATATTCTTGGAAGTGAATCTGATACTCGGTTTAGTCTCTTGCATCGTTATTCTTCATCGGTCGGAATTAATCCAGGAATTGCTGCTGTCTTGGAGAAATTGTAGTAGTGCTGCGGCATTTCCGATCAGCAAGGTCTGTGGTAAAGACCCGGGAGCATTTTTGCGCAATTTTTTCTGTATTGCAACGAAAACCACAATCGATCGGCACCAATGAACCAGAGATAAGAGAGGACGGGTGCTTGTGGTGCAGTTGTGTTCACTTGGGAAGACGAACAAGCTCATTGTTGACAGTGGGAAAACTGGAATTAAATTAAAAGTAGAAATTAAAACTAATGAAATTAAAGTAAGGAAGGAACACGCAAGGATTCTGTTAATAAATGGCTTCCTCTAAATTGTTGGGATCGATAGTCGAGTATTCGAGCTGTTGTTTACAAGTGGTTTTTCTTTTTATTGCGCTATATACGGCTTAGATGAAAAGTGTGCCTAAAATAGCCAATGAATAGAATTTCAATAGTTGAATAGTTTAACCCCTTTTCCCACAATCAAAACCAGGTTATCAGCTTTTGATAACTGAGAAGGTTTTGTACTTTGTTTGTAGGCTGATAACGACATGCGTGTTTACAAGCAACAACATCGTAACTTGACTGAAAAGAAACGTTTTGCAAGTGAACAGTTACATGCGATGGGTCGAAACCGTGAGCCAAAGGTACGCTTTTGTTTAATTTGATTAGCTTTACGATGTTGCAGTAGTTTGAGACTTAAGAGTATAGCACAGACAAATTTAGTTTATTGTAATTGCTAAAGTTTAAATGATCTCCCAACGGTTTATCGCCTCATTGTGGCTGGGAGGTGTTCGTGGGTGTCGGACTGCGATGTACAGCGAGGAATTCATCCCCTGTCAGGACCTCCCAAACTGAGGAGTCCGGCGTTTCCATTAGGAAGCCTAGCTGAGAGTGAACTAATACCAGGATCCACCACCGTCCTGGTATCAAAGTCGCATGGTGGTAAACCTCCCTCTGATCCACAAGGGCTGCGACGGCCCATGGTGGTGAAGACCTGGGGCAGAGTTTGGCCAGGCTGACCTCGGGGCTCCAGGGAACCATGATGGCTTAACTAGCAAATCTCCGAGAAATGGAGATTATGCTGGGGCTCGCACAATCAGTGAGAACGGGCCATTAAGGTATCAAGTAAGTAAAGTTTTAATGAAGGATCGTTTTGTTTTTTTCATTTGTTTTCCATTCGTCAGAAAATACTCCGATTCGTGATTTCGAATTGTTGGGAATTAAATGATTGAAAGACATTATTGCAAAAGATTGGGACAATGTGGAACGTTTTAGAAGGCACAACTACTGGATTTGCGTAATCGAGTTCGTGAACTGCGCGCACAGCTGGAGGGTTATGAGAGTCAGATAGGATCAGATTTTCTCTCTCAGCTCAGCAAATCTGAACAGTTAGAATGCGAGCGATTGCAGGTATACGAATTCGATTTTTGTCCTCAACAGCCATATATAAGTTGTTTATCGGCGTTTTAATTCTAACGATTTTTTCATATATAATTCATTGTAGAGGGAAATTCTGGAGAAAAAACAGAAGTTGGACCAGGTGGCAAAAGAACGTAGTGCGCTAGAGACAACAAAACAGAAACTAGAAAACCAGTTAACGACTAATCTTCTTCGAAAACGAGATAGCCTCACTGCGGTATGGGCTGGTTTATTAAGTACAAGATTTCGAGAAGATATGCTGTAATTATTCAGAAAATTAGTGACATCGCAGTGGATGAAAAACGGCATAACTTGCAAGCGGAGACAGCCGAGTTGAATTCCATAATTCAGAGGTGAAGGAACCAAAATTTTGTCGACAGCAATTATTGTAGAAGCTCATTCTTATCTTATGCATGATTGCTTATGATCTTAATTGCTGTGTTCCATAGACTAAATGAAATTGTTCGTCGAATTGCTGAACTGGATGAATGCCTAGTGGAGTATGAAGAAAGTGCTGAGAAGTTAAACAGAGAATTGGAAGATGTCCAGGTAAGGACGTGCTTTTGTTTGTGATGTAATTAGTGTAATGAACTAGAAGGAAACCCGAAATGTGATAAGGAGGTCCTTTTTTTCTTTTTCTAGTTGAATAGATAATTCACTCTGTAGGAGCAGCAAAAGGATTTGGAAGCTCAGCTGGCCGACTTTTCTAAACAAGCTGATATCATCTTTACAAAGCAGAGCACTTTGCAAGCAAAACGAGAAGAGAATGTGAAGAAGGTATGTTGTTTTAAAAATTTTTGTTATTGTGATCCTTTATCAATGAGAAGTTCGAGTTAATCCGTTCAGATCCGTGAACTTGGTTCGTTGCCAACAGATGCATTCTCGAAATATCAAGGAATGTCTACAAAGCAATTGGAGAAGAAGTTGGCCGAATGTATGCATGAATTGAAAAAGTATGAAAATGTTAATAAAAAGGTGGGTTTTAAATCTTAAACCAGTTTAGAAAAGCTCTGTAGAGTCAAAGCATTACGACGTATATGTTTAGGCACTTGATCAATTTGTACAAGCCGCTTCTCAGAAGGAAGATCTTACTAAACGAATGGAGGATCAACAGAAGAGTCAGAAGGCGAGGGAGTTCAAGCTTGCTTTTCTGTTTGTTGTTTATCTCTCCTCTGTTTTCAGTCAATTGAGGATTTAATACAAGTGCTTGATACTAGAAAATATGATGCTATTCAGTTAACATTCAAACAGGTGAGTTACTTTTGCTGTGCTGCTTGTACAACTTTGACCTCTTTACATTTCCACCTTAGGTTTCGAAGAATTTCGCTGAGGTGTTCAAGAAATTGGTACCAAACGGCTCGGGTTCACTGGTGATACAGACAAATAAGGATGTCGGTCTCTATACTTAATGTTTCGAAACTATATGCTTCTGTGACAAAACAGTCATTTTCAGGACTCAATGGATACTTCGCAATCTGACCAAGCCGCTCATATAATGGAGAGCTTTGTTGGTGTCGGGATAAAAGTGAGTGCGGTACCATGTGATTTTGATATGTTCGTAAGAAACGACTAGAAATTTGTCTTTTCTGCATTATAGGGTACAGATCACTTATCCATAAATGTGGATAATAGTTTCAAAGCTTGTATATATATATATAAATATGTATAAAAGGATAATAAAAGATAAACATCTGGGCGTTGATCAATTCCTGAGGGATGCGCCATGCATTCGATTGCATTAAATATCGTTGGAGGTGATTGAATGCATATCTCGCCATTACAGTAACTCGCGGTGGCCTACCGGTGCATCGAGCCAGCGCTGCTATCCTCCCAGACAAGTCTGATACCAATTTGCCGACCCCGGAGGGATCGAAGGCTTGGTGTGCCGCTGGGGTGGGGATCGATTCCACGTATGTGTCGCAGTGGCGCCTCCAACCTCTGCACCACACGCGCCTTTGTATATATATGTGTATATATGTATATATATCCGCCTTTTCTTAACTTGGAAGGATCAGTTTGTCATGAAATTTATTCAGCCAAATTGCATAGCCCCAGTTGATCAGACCTAATATATATTTTTATTCTTTTTATATAACCTGTCTTCACGTCTACTGTGCGAATCCCAGTACTTCCCACATTTGGTTCGTTTCCTCGCATCCGTTGTCCACAAAGATCTTCCAGTTTTTTACATGAGGCTTCGCCTGCTGCTTGAGGATTTTCATTTCATCTTGAATGTCGTAGAACGCTGGGCTAGTCGATTCTTCCTGCAGTCCCGGCATAGCCGGGCTGGAGCGTTTTCAGCTGTATTGCAGAGAGTGATTTTTGTCGAACAAGTCCAGTACCAATTTCCCGACCTCGAAGGGATGAGAAGCTTGATTGGCCTCGAGCGGAATCGAACTAGCACCATGCTCTTGATGACCGATATCACAACCACTTTTATCCGCTCTAAGGCCTAATATTTAGGTTGATGTATATATATATATATATATATATTTGTATATTTTTGGAAATATTGTTGCACAAATATATTTTTAATAGGTTTCGTTCGACGGCAATTCTGAAACACGAGAAATGGTGCAACTGTCGGGTGGCCAAAAGTCGTTGGTTGCACTAGCACTCATATTTGCTATTCAAAAATGCGACCCTGCACCGTTTTACCTCTTCGACGAAATTGATGCTGCTTTAGATGGTCAGCATAGGGTAGCGGTTGCTGGTACGAACTGTTGTTTTTCTGTCTTTCTAAATTTCCAAAAGTGCATTCTCAAGCTTTTGTTAGCGGAAAAATCTCACAATAATTGTGGTTGAGAATCTATCAGTGTTTGTCCCAGATATGATCCACGAGCTTGCGGAGAACGCTCAATTCATCACCACAACTTTTCGGCCTGAACTGCTCGAATCTGCTGAGAAGTACTATGGAGTGAAGTTTAGGAATAAGGTTAGTGCACGAGCGAAAATTAAGCAGAAAAATGTGATTTGTGGGATTCTTGTCTACTTCTGGGAAGAGTATAAATTTCGAAGCTGTACTTATTTCTTCCTTTCTTTTCTCATAGTTTGTTGACGAAGTTTTGTCTGCTGTTGACAGGTTTCTCATATCGATGTGGTAACCAAGGAACAGGCTTACGATTTTGTTGAGGACGATACAACACATGGCTAACTGTTTGGGATAATGATCTCTGCTATGCATTTCTCTGTACAATGCAGTTTTTCTTCTTTGAATTTTGGTAAATTGTTATCTGTATAATGCAGTTTTTAAATTTTGTCCCGAATTATTGCTTGTGCTATGTAGTTCTCTACTAACTTGTGTTTACGGTAGCCCCAGCGACAAATCTTTTCTGTTCAATTTCGCCATAATACTATTGTATTTAACAAATACCGAAATGACCTTGTGAAATGAAAACTCCATTGTTTTGCAACGCTTCGTGTTTTTAACATTTCACCGAATAGTGGTGAAGTCGCGTACCTTTCATCTCTAACGAAGCCACTACCTATAGTGGCTTTCGAAATGTGTTACCTACTAACTCTTGTGATCGAATTACTGAAAACATACAAAGGTTCTCAATGAGCATTATCTAAATGAACGGACGTTTATACACTGTTGAACTGGAAAAAGGCCATTGGAAGCCGTTTCCTATGAGGATCCGAACAATTTCGCTCTAGAAGCATTTTCGTAATTTGTGATAGGTATACATACTATCGACGTAGTGCAAAAGGTATTGCAGAAAGCTGCGGAAAAACAAGGAACTCGAGAGGATGTGCACCGAGCTCACTGCACATTATTTCAAGACCGACTTTACTTTAACCTCGGTGTGACTAATCAAGATGTGTTCTTTCTTTGATGAACTTACATGAAGTTGATAAACAATCTTTATTCGGGTAACATTTCGACTTCTTCGTCTTCATCAGAGCCGATGATCCCAGTTGGTAGCCCACGGTCGTTCTTCATCTCGATGCGGAATCTTCGCCTTCGTGTCGGGTCGGGTTTGTGCGTGTGTATGTGTTGTGTGTCTGATGAAGACGAAGACGTCGAATCGTTAGCCGGATAGAAACTGTTTATCAACCTCGTGTAAGCTTAGCAAAGGAAGATCTCTGCGCATTGTTTGATCTGCCCAGGTACTCGCTAACAACAATGTTTATGGTCGCGGTTGTTCACTAGTGTAGATGCGAGATTCTGAGGAATTTACAGCACTGGTGAACAGAAAACAGCTGACATGAAAGTACTTGAACCATTCAGCATCCTAGTGAGGGAGCGTTTAGAAAAACGATCGCATTGATTGCAAGTGCTCGGCATCAGGTGGATTAATAGGTGCTATGCCATTGGTACTAGTTGGGTGCTACATCTTAGATTGTGTGGGTGGTTTTTCAAGAGGAGTTACTTAAGAAATGTCGGACGGTGTCCCACCGTTGCGCCTAGTAGCATTAGTAAACAGTAAAAAAAAGTTTTTCCTCTTGTTTTCTCTCGTTGTCTTTGCAAAACCATGCTCTCAAAAGATTTGCTATTAGTCGAATTTGACTTGTAAATTGTGACTCAGAAGAATTCATGGCCACTTCTCGCTAAAAGCAGAATGGGACGCCTCATAGGGAAATTATGATGCTCTTCCTCTCGCTGTAGCAAGGGAAATCCATTGAACAATCTGTAGATCACGAAGGAGTGAACGAATCACCCTTCTGTTGCTCGAGTTACCTAGTAATTGACCGTACCCGGAAGTTGAAGGCCTTATAGGTGAAATTAGTGTTTGGGTTATTTATTACTTAACATATTAGACGACCATAGTTTTTTTTGATAACTGTTGGTCTTTAACTAGAGTGTTTGAGAACCTCATCATTTCACCGACTTACGTGAGGTCCTTCGGAAGTCAACCGCCTATTTTGTCCTATATTTTCAAAGTGACCTTTCCCGGATGAGTATAAATTTTATTAGTCGGCATAAAATCTATTAGAATCTATTCATTGAAATTGTTAAGATATTAAGTTCAGTATTCTCCAAAATTTGCTCTCAGATTGCAATTTCTCTTCAGTATGGATATATACGGAATCTCTATAATGGTTTAATAGCGCCAACCACAAGAACAACAAAGAACAGCTTAATAGAGCCCAAAGGCTTCAGGGCATCGCATGGTGGCCATGCGATCAGCGAAGGTCCTGGCTGAAGCCATTTATGCAAAATCCAGTGGAACAGCATTGTGCAATATCACATCACGTATGGATACAGAAGTATTTATTGCATGATGAATGACAAATTGTAGGCAATAAATGAAGAAAAACATGATGCTTGCTTAGATATTACCGCAGAGCCTAGCAATCCTTGCACTTTTTTCGCAGCAGTCGTCTATTTAACTAGTTAACTTCGTGTGACGGCGATTCAACTCGGAATATCAGGTCTAGAGCAGCTCTGGGGACAGCAGTTTGAAATGGCGGCTTTAAACTTTTGGATGGCTTAGTCTACAATCGTTAAAATGTTGGACTAATCGGTCGTATTTCTGTTCATCGACGAACGCGAGCAGAGCACAGGAGCCGCACGTTATGTTTACACCTTATCCTATCATCCATTGTGCAAGAGACGTTATTCGTACAACGGTGTCTATCAATTCCAAAAATTCTATTTTCGATTTTAGTACTGTTGAGCTTTCGATATGTTTAATGTTGTTTTCAAAGCAAACTGTGGAAAAATTTGAATTTAATCTACACTCACGAGAACGGTGTTCAAGATTCGCTCATTTTCTCGAGAAAGGCATTGTTCCCATAAAAAGTTAATGGATCAAATTAGGAGAAAATAGTGTCAGTTCACAAGCGAAAAAATTAGAAAATTTATAGAAAAGACAAGAACAACTATCCATCTAGCAGTACAAGCTCAACGCTATAACGATGACACCTAATTTCGGGCTTGCCGCGGGCTTAACGACACCTAGTTTTCGACCTTCGTAGGCCTGCCTGATTTTTCGAAAATAAACGATAGTAACTCCCAGGACCGACTTTCTATTAATTTTGGCATTGAATGAATAATTCTTTATATTTCTGTTTAGCAAACATGAGGTGTTATTTCATTTCTTTATTTACGTACAAGCTAACGCTTCGGCGGATTTCGCCTTCCTCAAAGCCTGGAAAGGTCAAGTTGACCGCAATCTACCCAGTCAAACACTTCCGTAACTAAACAGAGAAAATGCTAAATGAGATTTCTCCACATAGTATATTCAGTGGAAGACTCATAGAAGGCGGTGAGTGTGCAAAGAAGTTACTCTGTGCTCAATGTGATTGAAATTTAGGTATAGCACTTTCTCTGTTTGGTAATGAATTGGTTATGTAGGTGTTTGGCCGAATAGATTGCTATCAACTTGACCTTTCCAGGTTCTGAGAAAAGCGAAATCCGCCGATACGTCAGCTTGTACTTGAATAAAGAAATAAAATAACACCTCGTGTTTGCTTAACAGAAATATAAAGAATAAACGGTAGTTTTTGGATAAGAGGAGGAGTTAATTTTACTAAATCACCTGAACCCACTGTGTCACTTGTCTCCAGAGTGCTAAAAACTGAAAGTGGCGATAACCAAGATCTAAACGTCTTCAACCATTCCCAGCCTTCAGCCGAATTTAACACATGAGCCGGTCGTGGAAGGCGGATCAGCCACGGGCAGAATGATGTCATCCAATAGTTGTTTCGTTTAAATGTAACACTGTCGGAACACAATTAAATTATGGTAGTCATTAAGAGTAGTTCGCTGTCTCTTTAGTGGAAACAGGAAATCAGTTCCCTAGACGGTGTGCCACCTTGCTAACGAACAAAGGTTAAAGCTCTTGGCGTTGATCAATCCGTTAGGGATGAGCCATACATTCGCCTTCATTAAGTACCGGTATAGGTGAATGAGCGCACATCTGGTCTATAGAATGACTCGTGGTCGCCTATCGATGGATGTATCAAGCCAGTGCAGCTATCTACCCAGACAAGTCTGGTATCAATTTGCCAACCCTAGAGGAATGGAAGGCTTGGTGAGTCTTGGGCGCGGTGATCGATCCCATGTGTATTTTAGGACCCCTCCGACCACTGCGCTACACGCTTTCCATTAGAGCAGCGCTGAGCAGTCGTGTGGTATGATAAAGGTAAACGCTTTACTCATTGGAATTTCAGTTATATCAATATTAACAATGCCAAGTTTCTTGGTGCATTGTAACAACTTAATTTCTGTGGTAAGTTTTTTACTTGCTGCCTTTTACAAGTTTTCACGACAGGGTATTATTTGTGAAACAACCACAATGATGCTGAAATATTTGTAAACTCCGGACCGCAGGTTTATGCGTTGGGCAACGAAAGCGCTGTTACCCTTTCGCGGAGCGTTCACCACGACACAGACTACAAACAGAATAACTGGGTTCATTGCCGATTTGGCAACCTAGATCTACCCCGCTGACGGGTGTTTGCTGATGACTGATGAATGGATGACCAATAGAGTTAGCTTAGAGAAGGGCGAAACGAAGGACCAGCATGGCGTGATGGTGAACGCGTTGGCCCCCGGAAAGGGTAAGAACGCATTCTTTCCCAGCCGCAGACACCTGCAGTTCGGAGTTTTGCAAATATCTCAACATCATTGTGGTTGTATCACACGCGATACCTTGCCATGAAAAATTGTAGAAGGCAGAAAATAAAACGTAAAACAATACGAATATATGTGGTTGCATTTCGCTTAATACCTGCCCTAAAAATTATAGAAGCAGAAAATAAAAAGTAAACACTGTGAATTCAACTACAGCCTCAGCTTAATTGCCGATATTGGCTTTCCAGATCAATCCCGTCTACAGGTGATTGCTGACGGCACTGATCGATAGAACTAGCTGAGAGACAGGCGAAACGAAGGACCCGTATGATGTGGTGGTGAACGCGTTACTCCCCGGAAAGGACAATAGCGCGTTCGTTCCACACCGCAGACACCAATACGAATATGGTTGAAAATAATATGCTGATTCTAATGTCTTGTATCTTAGCAAATCTCATCCGCGGAACATCATTTTGCAGCTCTCAATGGTTTTCCAATTCAATGCGATAGCGCTGTCACCAATTGTTATTTCTTCTCACAGAGTACCCAGTTTGATGAATATTTTCGTGAACCATTCGTATCCTCATTGCAGGTGTGCGTGTAATAATCTACCACACCCACATTGCGAGATC